TTGATATAGCGTTTGTTTTAGCGCGAATATTGAAAACAAGTGTATCGTAAAGTTATATTCGGAAAGAATAAACCAGTTTTATTAAGTAAGGACTTGTGTTGCTAAAGTTTCGTCGGAACGAAGTTATGGAAAGTTAATTAACAAACGGAGACGTAACAGTATATTCAAGTCTACAACATGTTGCCATACTTGGAATTTGTAACTCTACAGAGTAGTCATATCATGTTTCTATACTTGGAACATGCAATTCAACATGTTGTCAATGCAAATTATCCAGAAATAGAATATGCTGTGTATAACAGTATCATATCATGCTGCCTAGGATTGGAATTTCTAAGTCTATGGTATGGTTATATCACGTTTCTATGCTAGGAACATACAAGTCAATGTGTTGTCATTGCATATTTTCCATAACTAGAATATACACATATATAGTTGTCAGATTTTATGTATGTATGGGATGGATTGTTTACAGTAGGAGTCTGTAACTCACTGCCAATAAATGTCAACAATAAACAAACTGCACACAGTCCAATTAAAATATCATATTAAAACAAGTCAAATGTTTATACACATGTTCGTTACACCGTTGGTTACCACAGTTGGATCCAGAGCTTTAAATAATTGTCTCTTTTTTCATCAAATTCCACACAGTCTGGTTCAGTTACTTTAGAACAGAATTTGGCAAGATTAATTATTCTTTATGCTTGGTTGTTACAATACAGTCTGTGGTAATTTCACTTTTAAATCACCACTATAACTGTTGATTACCACAGTTGTATCCAAAACTTTAAATAATTCTTTCTTTATTTTTGCCAATTCCATTCAGTCTGGTTCAATTATTTTCAAACACAATTGACAAGACAAATTATTTCTTCTCTACTTTGTTATTACAATACAATCTGTGATAATTTCACTTTAGAAATTACCACCATATGCAGCCTAGATCTAAATATCTATCTATCTATTTCAAATTACATTTTGAAAGCATATTTATAGGCTGGCAGAGGTCTAGAATGTTCCACACACTACAAGATATTATCATGCAATAATACTCAATTAAAACAATGTCAAAAACTTAGAAAGTTCTATTAACATGATGCAATAATACAACAAGTGCCAATTCCCAACATTTGAACTACACAACATATGATTTGTACACATTTTCATAAACAAACTTGCGATAAGCTATCACTTCTAAAAATAAGTAAATTTAACACTGGTGCTATACTTAATTGAAACAGTCATGTATATCTAACAATAGTACTGTCAAATAATGCTGCCTAGAATTAGTATTTGTAAGTCTACAGTATGGTTATATCATATTTTTAGACTTGGAATGTGCAAATTAATGTGCTGTCATTCCATATTAGCCAAGCCTGGAACAGTGACATATTCAAAGTCAATGCAATTGAAGCAACACACTGATGGGCTCCTCATACTGCAGGCCCCCAAAGTAATACAAAAGAAACCTATAGCTGATCAGTACAGGTGGGATCCCTAAGAAAATTGCATGGAGTAGTTTGAAGTGTTAACAATACTCTGGCCTGGAGTTTGTAACTCTGCAGTATGGTCATATTATGCTTATAGATTTAGAACTTGCAATTCAAAATGTTGTCATTGCATATCAGCCAGAATTAGAATATGCACAATTATAGTACCATCATATCATGGTGTGTAGGAATCCTTTTAATGTAAATAAAATAATGACCTATAACCCCAGAATGCATCTTTATTAACTCAATATTTCTCTGTTATAGCTTCGTCAGGAGCTATCAATAACCTACAAGTTTGCAAGTTAGTAGTATGTAAGTCTACAATATGGCCATAATATTGTTACGACATCAGAAGTCATGCGACTCTGGAAGCATGCGCACTGGAGTTTCTAGAAGGATCATGTCTCTTCCTGGCAACTCTAGTCTTTTTTACGTGCCCTCTATTTTAATATATAAGCAGGCAAATAAAGCGAGATAATTAACTGAATTGCAGACAGGCAGAGATAGAGACAGACAATTGAGTCAAGCATGGTAGTGACCGTAAGTAAAGTGCGAGAATCGTTGTGAATTATAGCGTGTGTTTAAGTTAAAGTGACTGTGGAAATTAAGTGTATTGCAAAGTTGTATTGAGAAGGAATAAACTAGTTTTATTTAAGAAAGGACTTGTATCGCTAAAGTTTCATTCGAAAGAAATTATATGGGAAATTAACAAACGAGCACAGACGTAACAATATATTGTCTATACAAGTCTAAATTATTGTCATAGAAGGCATAATAATTACTAAGGTATACAAAAAAGTAGCAATAAGTAGAAAACAAACAACATCCAGATACAGGTTACAATGTATTGTAATATTTTCTAAGCTGAGAATATTCTCATCTTCAGTATTGTTGTAATGTGATTTCTAAGCTAGGACTTTGTAAGTCTACAGTGTAGTCATGTTTTAAAATTTCGAGTATTATTTAACTAGAACTGATTATGAATGGGGTTGCAAGCCTACTAAACATACAT